AGAGATTGCTTCATGCGACAGAAGAGTGTAGTTTCAAAGTTATATTAGATTACTGTTTTAATTTTCGTATTCGAGTTTTACTGGCTCACATTAATTTTACCCCTCAAAGCAAATACATTTACCAGAGAGGAAGAGCTGAGAATGAATGCAACATCTTCTCTGCACCAAGAATTAACAATTAAGAAGAAGATGAAGATACAAGATACTTTAATGGAAATCATGGCCTTGGTTCTCAAAAAATGCTACACATAGCATCTATAAAGGAACAGTTTGACATTTTGGAAAATACAAAATATATAAGATGATATGATTAATACCACTCTCATGTCTGAGCTTTAAGTATGGAAGATGGAGGCAGGAGATAATTTGGCTAGCATTGCTTAGCATAAAGTTAGCCTGGCTCTGTCCAAAGTTAAATTAAGTTACAGCAGGAAAATCTCCATTAGACCACATTGGTTTTTTACAGTTGTGTTTGTGTATATGTTAAATAAACTATATACAACATGTACAACATTAATGAGCTATAGAGGTGCTGGTAAGCATATTTTTAACTTTGAGCAGACCCTAGCTAACTGTTTCCTCCTGCTTCTAGTCTTTATGCTAAGCTAGGCTAATTGCCTCCTGACTTTCAATAAAAAATCAAAAAAACTTTTCTCCCACGTACTGTAGTGACTGTGTCTTTGATCTTAAGGAATGCCCTTAAATGATACCAATTTAGCTAAAACACTAGATTAACAAGCACCTGCTCTGGCTCTCTTTATCCCAGAGTGATGCCTTTTATTCAGGTTTCAGGCTTTTGAAAGCAGGCACAACACTTAAAAAAAAACAAAAGAATGTATGAAGACAATGTTAGTAAAAACAGTGGGGTGGAGAATTGTGGATGGATATGGATATGGTATGGATATACCAATGAGTCAGTGTGAGTGTATATGAGGACGCACTCCATCTGAGGCGCACTGTCGCACCCTCTGTGTCTTTTCTGACAACACACCACAGTGAAACCATTCATATTACGCCACCATCCACTGCACCGGCAGCAGGACAATCCCTGTAAACACTGCACTGTGATTTGTGTTTGTGTGCACAGCAGGTGTTTGATTGTATCCCTATCTCTCTCTCTCTACACACACACATACACACACACACACACACACACACACACACACACACACACACACACACACTCGCTGGCTTTTACTAGCTTCCATAGTGGCTGATGCCAGATGTTGGGATAGATAGATGAATTATTGATGATCGTCATAGACAAATGTTGCTTAATGTTCCCCACGTACTTCTCCATGTGTGTGACAATGTTTGAGAGTGTGTCTGATTACGGGTGGTCTGTGAGCGGTTACGTTCATGTTGTGCATGAAAGTATAAGCTATCTATTTGTGTATGAACAGTATTTTTTGTAAGTTGCGTGTGCGCCAGAGGTGGCATTATTGTCCCGTGTGAATCAGAAAAAGGGATTGATTGATTGAGATGGGTGTATTAACAAATACAGTACATAACCTGTGATTGTGTGTGTATGAGGATGTGGTGGAATTTCTGTCGACCATCTTTTGACCACAGAAACAAAATCTTGATGACTGATTTCTTTTCTTCCTTTCTGAGTTGAAAACTATTGCAGTGCCTTCCTTTTCTTTATGAATGAGATGCTAGATAAGGCTGCATTCCTGTCATGTTGGAATATTCACTACAGTGACATGAGGGTTCAAAGCTACAACTTGGATGTGTTTTCGTACACTAATCAGATAACAGGAGTAATGTATTCTCTAGACTTCAGTATTTTCATTCTTAACACGTGTACTCAGATGTACAGCAAATCAAACCTAATAAGCACTTGTGTCATGTCGTTGTTTTCCTATCTTTTTTCCCCCCTGTGAGTATCTCATACAATTATAGAAACACTGTCATTTCCACAGCAGTTCCATTAGCTAGCTGTATATCACGAGGACTAATTACAGGTAACTCAAGAAAATCACCGAAGTGTAAATTTTGGTGACAAGTTAATTTATGTTGTCAAGCTCCAGAGAACTATCACACAAAAGGGCAGTATGTTGGTAAACTGTGCAGGTTTTCAAATAATTCCATGATGGTAACATGCTTGTTGATTATTACATGACTGATTTTTATTGACTTCCATATGTCCCTTGTCACATTAGGGCTGCATGACCAAACTGTGGCAAAGATTCAGATCTAATTCAGCTTTGATGGAGTCAGATTTGCCTCAAGATATTGTTACTGTTAAGTTAGTTTGCAACCCCAAAAACTTTGTGTGTCAACTAGTTTGTGCAAATTTAATTTTGGTTTATTCAACAATATGACAACCAAAGGACAATATCAGTTGACACGATAAAGGCCGTAAAATAGGATCTGCTTTATTACTCAATCTTGGGGCCTTGTCTTAAAGCTGCTCTAATCAATATTTTTATATTAGCAATGGATGAAATGATGATGATGAATAATGTGAAAAGGATCACTTGTAGTGACAAATCCATAGAAAGTTATCAATAGACTCTGCAGTTCTCCTCAGCTATACGTAGCTTTTTAGCATCTTTAGCTAATTGTTTTGGTTTTATGGCCAACAACTTTGCAATTTCGATTCACTCTCTTGCTCTCATCAGCGTCAGCATTTCCAGATGCAGGAGGTAGCTTCGTTCAGCAAAAAGCTTTGATAAACCCACCAAACAGCAGACAGACAAAGTTAGCGACTAGCTGCTAAACATGGTGGAACATTTAGCAGCGAAAGAGTTAGTTGAAAAAATGAACAGAGCCAAAAGGAGAGTGAATATTGCACTTACATTTGCCACATGTATACAAACACGACCCCAAATAAATGAAAACAAAATATCAGTTATTGCAGGTTTAAAGAGTGTGTGTGACAAAATGTAATTCTATTATAAGTTTTGTGATTATTTGTGCATATTTCTATGTGTTCTATGTGTTTAACTTAATCAAATTACCAGAAACAAAATGTGGGGCAAGGTATCATTCTAGCATTGAAAAACTGTACACATTGCACAGAAAGCGGAAGGAACAAGGGTGTTAATAAAGGCTCAGCACCTAATTTTTTCCCCAAGGCCCCCTAGCAGGTTAATCAACCTTGTAGTTAAGTGTATGGCTGTTTTTTGCATGTGTTCGTGGTGGTTCAGTGAATTGTGTGAGGCTACATATGTGGCTTCTCTGTGCATACATGCATGTCAAGCAAGAGCCAGGTGGTGTGTGTTTTTCCCAGATCCCACTTCACTCCCACTCCATTAGACTCTAGTGGTTCCTCTTCTCATTCCTGATGAAAAGCGAGGCATGTTTCCGGGCGAGGCAGCAGCACTGCAGACATCTCAACTAGCAATCTGAGGAAAGCCCTGCCGGTGGGATATGAAGAGAAAGAGAGATGGATTGTTCTGTTGTGTGTAGTGTGCTAACAGGATCTTAGATAGTACTCTCCCCCCTTCGGCGAGCAGGATTCACATCCAAAACTACATATACACCGGCCAGAGAAAGGGATTTAGCCATGCATTATAGCAGCAATAGAAATACATTTTAATTCCTCTAGAGATGTTTAGATTAATAGTTTTATATATGTGGTGTGTGCAGTGTGAGTGTGTATGTGTATAAAAATCTGTGCTTGAGTTTGTGTGGGTGTATGAGAGACAGAGTTTGTGCTTTACCGTGTGTGTGTGTGTGTGTGTGTGTGTGTGTGGGAAAGTGTGTGCCAGTGCTTTGACTGACAAAAGCCACGCTATATGTCACAGTGCTGCAAGCACATCAGCGGAATGTCAGGGAAAGAGCTGCTTTTTGACTTGATACATGAGCAGCTATCCATAATGAATGCTGCCGTGCCACTTATCTTATTAGCTGAACTCCTTTTTCCCCCATTCTCCCTGTAAATAACATGCATAACATCGGATGGAGAGGAAAAGCGTCTTCCCATGAGATGTCAGAACCAAAATAAAGTATGTCATTCCTATTTCAGGGCTAGCTGCGCCACCGTCAACTATTGTTGACTTGTCTGCTGGATGATGGGAATGCTTTCGGAGGCCTAAGAGAGCAGATGCAGTGAGTGTCATGACTTGACTTGAGCATTGTGGGTTTGTTGTCGTTTACATGAGACCAATTGAATTCAACAAAGCTACTCCTTGAGGATTTCCTGCTGTGATATGGTGAAGCACCGAGACATCTGGGTACCTACTGACCACTTAACTGCCTGCACTCGTCAATAACTCTTTAAAAAGATCAATTAGGGCGATCAGTGCTGAGAACGCCGCTGGGGCTGAGGTGCCATATTGAGCTGTTTCTGTGAGATGATGTCACATGCAGCTCTTTTCCAGAGAAACAGCCTCACCCCTCCAGACATTCGATTTTATTAAAGGGGTGTTCTCCTCAAACCGGAGCAATAAACTCAGCAATAAGCTGCTTCTGTCTTATCTGCCTCAACTGTGCCACGAGAGGCGGGGGGGGGGGGCAGTCCTCGCAGTGTCCAGCCAGCCGTCTCATTGAAAGTGTTCTGACTGAAACATCGAGCCATAAAAATCGATTTAGATAGCGACACTTTCTTTCATTTATCGTTCACTCACCTTTTTGCCCTTGTGAAATGTCCGTTTACACATTTTACAACCTGATTGATTACGTGCTGCTGTTTTCAGTTCATTGTGTTCTTTTATCCTTCCTCCTGTGGAGTGCTTTTGCCCTGTGTTCCACTTGTATCAGATGCCATGATAAATGCGGTTGTCATGACACCCGTGGCAGCCAATGAGCTCACTGGAGCCTGTGAGTGTGTCGATTCCAGCCGGTGACAGACAGGCCGATCCACGGCAAGCTGACCTTTCACCTCCTAACCTTTCTTCCATGCTGATTATTAATCCTACTTACAGTGCACTTCCTGTGTCCTTCCATCACAAATTAACCTTTCTCTTCTTCTCTCTCCCTCATCCCCCTCTCTGTCCCTTACCTTTCACGCCCCTTCCTTATTTCCTCCCCTGTTATTCTCCCTTTTGCAGCAAAGTTATTCACGTGAAAATTATTGACGATGAGGAGTATGAGAAAAACAAGAACTTCTTCCTGGAGCTGGCCGAGCCTCGCATGGTAGACATGAGTCTGCAGAAAGGTGCAGTACTAAACCTATTTCTTTCTCTTTTATCACTTTCTCTGTCTCTCGCTCTCACACATTGTCAGTGTCTTTTCTCTAACTGTTAGTAGCCTCAGACACTCTGTGTCTATCCCCAGGCCTCTTTCTCTCTTCTTTTCCCACTTCCTTCACCTGAACTCTCTGTATCTGTTCCATGGCACTGGTGCCTATTCACCCCCTGCCTCCCTCTACTTTTACACTTCCGTGCACCCAAGCGTTCATATTACACCTTGATCTCCTGTAAAATCAAACCAAAAACACTCCCCATCATAATGACAGTCTCCCAAGACGACGTCGTCATCTGAATGAAAAGAGAACAAGGAGTCTAGGCGCGGCTATGATTTACCATCGCCACGGAGCAAGTAGCCATTATTATGTAAAGACACGTTTTACCTAAATGCAGTCTAGTGGCTATTTTTAAATAAATGCGCCTTCTTGGGTGAAAATCCAAGCAAATTGCTGAGATTATTGATTTCTTTTTCGCTATGAAACTGTATAACTGTTTGAATTTGATAGTTTGTATGAAAGTCCAACTCCTTCAGCCTAAACAAGCTCCTTTTCTGATAGTATCTTTTTATTTTTCTTAATTTTTTTCCCCCCACAAATACTATAGGTCTTTATTGAAGGAGTAGATATATTGTAACAGTAGCTAACAGAATTGTCATTGTTTCACTTGATTGATTTGTTTCTGCAAATACAGGCCAGTTTGTGTCAGATGCTGAAGATGAAATTAAGGTACACAATAGTGGACTGGTTCTTTTATAGAAAGGGAGTCCAACATATTTGGTATCGTTTTAAGTTTGACGGTTTGTCTTTAATACAAAATAATCATTTTCATGTGATTCTAAAGTTGATCACACGAGAAAGCAAATTCAAAACATTCATGACCAGATGTTTTGAGTAATTTGTTTCTCTGTATATTATGAAAAGAGCCTAGCGCATGTAAGATTAGTCATTAAATGCTGTGTGCTGGTTTATCTAGTGTTATTGTTTCTGTTTGTTGTATGTTGGAGGGCCACAGTGGGAATAAGGCATTGGGCTTTATTGTTTTTCTATCCACAATATATTTAACTACTGCAGAGCAGAGAGGTACAGTGCATTTTTAAGCAATCAAATAAAATATATGAATAAGCAATGAGCTATTCTGAAATTTCCTGCATACACACTTGCTGATTAGACCTGACCCTGAAGCACATTTTGTCTTGTAAATGTAGTGTTTATTCCTTTTTTCTTTTCTTTTTTTCTTTTTTTATTCTGATAGTATCTTGCGTGCAGCCCATATTGAGGTCATATATTCTTTGGCAGGGGCCATCTTACTCACTGCAAGATTGTATTTCTCTGCACAACAAGCTTGTGTTTTTTACAGAAAGGTGAATATAAAAATAAGTAGGACGTAGCAGAATTCAAATCAGAAAAAGTTTTCATCATACGTTTTTTTTTCTTGTTTCCAGCTTGGCATTGGTAATGTCTGCTGAAAGAAGCCGACAGGCATTATCTTAAGATCCGCGCACCGTTATCTAATGCAGTGTTATCTAACCATGCTCAAGGCCAAGGGACGGGAGAGGCTCACAAGCTGGTGCAGAGGGTGCAGAATCTAACACTTCGCCGTTGCCTCTAAAAACTACAGCTCATTATGTTTACGTTATTGGGTCTGGCAGCGTAGTCTGAGTAGCACCGGCTCCTTGTGTTCTCAGAGCAAGAGTCGTGATGAAAAGCAGTTACTATATGCAGGTATTTTTGAGTGACGGCTGCATCACTCCAAAAACTCCTCCGCTGCTTTATGATGCCTTGTGTTTTTTTTATTCCTGTTCTGTGTTGGCGCAGGTTTTACCCACATATATATGATAAACACAAACACACACACAAGCTGTCGTTCACAAATCAGTTTTTTGTTGTTTGTAATATCAGTACACTCAGAATTTAAAATAATTTCACTCTCGCATCTGTTGTTAATAGGAGCCAAACTAAATGCCTATAATGTAAATGTCAATAAAAATATACTCACATATAAAGTAAATGCACAAATTCATCCACAATGTATTATACTGGTTAGCATGTTCTGCTACTCTACATTCCCAAACAACTACCTGTAACCTTAAAGCAAAGACTAGCTGTGTCCCTTGTTTCCAGTCTTTGTTCTAAACTAAGCTAACTAACTACTGGCTGTAGCCTTATATATTCAACAGACAGACACGTACCTGGTATCAGTCTTGTTGTCTTAAACTCTCCACCAGAAAGTAAATGTATTTCTGCAAAATGTAAAACTTTCCTTTAATACTAACCTTGGGCTAAACCTAAATTTAATTCTGATCTTAACCTTAATACAAATTCTTTTTTCTAAATTAACTTTAGACCTGCTGATTAAGCCTGGAGTCTCTTCCCAGTTACCCAAAAGTGCTCCAGAAATAATTTTAAGTCAAATCAAAATCAGGTCTGCAGGTGCTAACAAAAAGAGCCATACAGTGCAAACACACATGCCATTCTTCATGAGTGCCCTTCATTTCTTGCAACCGTTAAGGTTTCTGCAGCGATATTGTTGAATTCAGTACACTGAATTCGAGTCAGGATTTTTACAGACAGACTACGTGCAGAGGAAATGGAGGAAGAGATGGATATCTGCTGAGACGGAGGGAAAGATGTAGATAGGTAACGATATTTTTCTTTTACTCTGACCTCATGGCGTGTAACATGAAGATACAACCCTGCACCCGTTTCCCTGTTGACATATTTGTATGTATTGATTGCACAAACTGATTAAAATGTTGCTCATTTTGATGCTAGAAAGATGACAACACAACTGTGTCGCTAATGAAAGTGCAGTCGGTGTTGACAATGAGTAATACGTGAGACATCTACTTGCTTTTTGTTAATGCAGGAGGTAATGAATGTTTGATCAAGGGTAATAAATTTTTAATCTATATATGATGAGGAGGTAATGAAAAAGTGTTTTTGTATTATTTCCCACGCAGGATCATCTTTTATGATTGTGCCCGTGCTGATGAAATCACTTTGATTCGAAATTAGAGAAAACTCAACCCAGTGTTTAGCAGAGGGGTTACATATATTCCCCTGTTGCCAAAGTAGGTGCTTCTGGATCGCAGTGATGTGAATGATATGATAATTTCTCACTTTTCATATATAATGTGCCGATTATATTGTTGTTCATAACCACTGATGTGGGGCTGATTGGGTTTGTTTTTCTCCTTATTAAAGCCAGAGTGGAGGAGCAGAATTGATGAATATTCTATGAGAGACTTTGGATTTTGTTCATATGCAACAGCCTTGCTCTATTTTCTCATGCAGCCTTTACACTGCAACAAAAAACTTGTTTTTTATTTCTTTATCATAGATGATCCACATAGGAACACAAAAATAATTGTCAGATCTCATTTTAACTCTCTGATCTTTTTATGTATTACAAGCAGTTACATCACTCATTGCAACTTTTCTGGATTTGTGCTGATAGCAAAACCTGGCAGATGTAAGCGAGTCCTGAGCTGGCAGGTCTGACTTTGGACAGTGTGTGAGTAATGAAAGCAATCAAGCCAACCGTCACCCTGACATGTCAGTCTGGAGTTGTTTACTGCTGGATCCAGCTATGCTCTTCTCTAACTTATACTGAAGTGGTCAATACCATTAGCACCTCTGGTAAGGTGGCCAGGAGAACTACTCCACCGCTGCTGCTGCTGCTGCTGCTGCTACACAGCAGAGTCAAAATGAGAATCATGTAAAAGGCATTACAAAAGTAAATTTGGCATTACAGTGACTCTTTGGCTGTGACATGTTGATATCCATGCCAGATATGTTTAGGGTGTTTTATTCAAGCTGAGAGACATTTATTCTGTCCTTTACCTTGGGCATGTGACAACATTTCCATTCACATTTACTTGGCATCAGTCAGCTGAACTACGATGCAAGTGTCTCTTCCAAGCAAACTGTTTTGCAGTTTATTATGGAGTGGCAATGTAATCTGAGCCAACTGATAAAATAACCAAACCTCCAAAGCACAGAATTTTGTTAAAACAAAAGTGATGTTGACATTTGATAGCCAGTGTGCCACTTGTGCCTGGAACGCATTGCATTATAGCTGAACTGAGTGCAAATTACAGCCTGCAGTGGTTCTCATATTTAGCAGTGTCTTAAGGTGTTCTTAACTGGTACAAATACCAAATAGGTAAATTCCAGTAAAGAATTTACATTTGGTTTGCTCTGGCACCTTTTGTGACAAAAAACTCATTGAGTGGTTACCAAAAGCTACCTGTGAGGCCTACTCGCAATTATAACAATATCTCGTTTTCTCGTAGGTTGGCAAGTTTGAACTTGAATGGACCAAATGCAGCAAACCTTTGGCATATATATATATATAGTGTGGACCAAGGAAAACAAAGAAAGTGTTGCTTAATGCTTTATTTCAAACTAGGCTTACATCCTGACAAAGAAAGCACAAGCATGACAGCAGAAGACACAAATACTGGTTTGTTATAACACAGCACACAGTATGTATCACTTTACATAATTTTAAGACAGGGTAGCACAATTGAAGATGATCTTTGAACCAGAGATGTGTCCATGTGTCAGCAAGTATCTGTACAGCTAAAGTGCCCTCAACCAAAGCACCGTATCCTGCAGTGGTGCTGGACCTGTATTTGACTGTGACCTCTGACCTCTGTTGCAAAATGATCTCGTACAGAAATCAATGAATACCACGTTATTCAATAGCTGTGTGAGCAGTGTTATCGACAATAGAGCAGTGTCACTATAGTAGTAGTAGTAGTAGTAGTAGTAGGACCCAAATGCAGATGAAGTTAACAGAGCAGATGCAGTTCAATGATTTATTTCAAATGTGGAGTTGGGTAAAGGCTTACAGGCAGGTAGTTTCAGATAGGTAGTAGGCAGACTGGCAGGTGGGTACAGGTCCATGGAAAGGGTCAGACTATGGGTAAGGTTCAGGTTCCGGTGACTTGAAATCAACGGTACAA